CGCTGCAGCTGGCACCCAGCAAGAAGGAGAGACAACTACTGCCCCCCATATTCCTCCGCTGTTCCCCCGTGCCCCCACTTCTGCCAGGAGTAGAAAGCCGGTGTCAAGTCTCCCATCCAACGGCTGGGAGAAATATTTCAAATTGCAATAGCCAATAGCAGACTCGCTGCTGCACCTGCCCACTGCCTTCTCTAAATCAGCAGAGGAGGTCCTTTCTCCTTTAGTTCCCTCCTCTTTTGACTGACAGCAGGCAGTGGGCAGGTGTAATTGCCAGCCTGCTGTTTATTAATTTAAAATGGCCAATAGCCTCCTGGATATTGCTCCCAGTCACTGCCTGTGGTGTGTACATTCAGTTGCCATTCCCCATCTAAAACTATTATAGTGGAAAGGTGACACTAGAGGAAAAATGCTAAAACCCCATCTCCGGGTATATTAAAAAAAAAGGGGGGGGGGCTACCCCCGCACTGCCAAGGTTAACTGCTTGTCCTTCTCTACAAGCAGTTAACCTTGGCAGTCCTACATAATTTGCAATGATTTGGGCCCCCAGCTGATGAAATGTGTGTGGATCTTTTCTGTAAGCAAAGTGTGGACTTTCTTTTGATAATCTGTTGTCTTATATATTTTGTGTGTGTGCAGGCTATATGGTACACAGCAACGCAGGGTCTGGAAGGCGAAGTATACGGGTCTGCTGACTCCTGGAATGGCGTGGGGATTTTCTTTGATTCCTTTGACAACGATGGAAAGGTTTGTTTGCTCTGCTTGTTGCACTTTGGTATATTCATACCGCGTTCCAGGCTACACAAGGGACAAAGCTTGTTTACATAATGGCTGAAAGGTTGCTTTAGACCAATTTACATCTCTTATGTCTGCAAGAAAGGAGTTATCAGCAGCTTAATATGGCGTACAATTAGTTGATCTAGTTCTTTGCTTTCACTTAAATTTCACTCAGCGTGATGGCGGAAGTGACTCTGTTATACAGACAGTGAATAGACATCAGTAGCTTTGAGTGGCACTGCATACCGACCTTCACACATTTTCTACATTAAAGCATACAGACTGTACTTATGTTGGAATTCAATCTTTCAGAAGCTATGTGAGAAATGAAGCTATTTTACAGACACTCTGCTTTTGTGTACAACATTTTTCCCTCAGCAATAAGGGACGATTATGCTGTTTGTAAACACTTAAGTTACTTAAATATACATTTTCCATTTGAATTCAGTGTGTAAATTAGGTTATCTGCTATAGTTAATCATTTTTTTTCATTCCTTGTTCGTATCTTTGTTATTTCTATTAGCAATGAAGGTGAATCATCCAAGTGATGTATGTGGGGATTGTACAGCTATCTGATTTGCAGCTCGGTGAATGACGAATATCTGCATGTAGAATGTAGCTGTCTTCAGTTCGATGCAGTAACTGTGGGCATATAGAAGACATGGTGTTTGTTTTCATTGCAGTTTAAAATGTTTCTAAATGCATATTTAATCTACTTAGGCAAAAAGAATCCTGTTGTGGAGTACAATATTGGGGGTATTGCACAGAGCTACAGAAAGCTTGGGGATGCTCATTTCAGATTATTGCAAATGTGAACAGTGTGGCCTTGCTGGATCACCAGCATGAGGAAGGAGGTCCTGATTCCCCTATATAGATCTTTAGTTATCCCTAGAGGGATCACCAGCAGGAGGAAGGAGGTCCTGATTCCCCTATATAGACCTTTAGTTATCAGTAGAGGGATCACCAGCATGATGAAGGAGGTCCTGATACCTCTATATAGCCCTTTAGTTATCACTAGAGGGATCACCAGCAGGAGGAAGGAGGTCCTGATTTCTCTATATAGATCTTTTAGTTATCACTGGATGGATCACCAGCAGGAGGGGCCTGCACACTTTAGACATGTGCGATTCATTTCATTACAAATGGAAATTTCAGAGATTCGGATGTATCCAAATTCCGAATTACAGAAATAACGGATGCAAATGAATTTCGAAGGATTTAGGTCTGGTAGGAGTTTTAAGGGGGAACCCAAGCCCCAAAAATGGGGGGGAAACGTGGGGGTACCCCCTAACATTCCTACCAGACCCTTGATCCGAGCACTGGCCCGGCAGGGCAAAAAAGGGGTGGGATGATCGGGATAAGGGTGTCCCCATGCCGATGGGGGACAAGGGCCCCTTCCCCACAACCCTGACCCGGTGCTCTCCCGATTGCCATTCGGGTCTGTGAGCTGAGATGTCCTAATACTTTTCATATGACACCTCGGTTCACAGACCCGAATGGCATTCGGGAGCTCCCGAATGCTATGCAGTATTTGACAGCTGAGAATGTCAAATGGGTGGAGCGAAACGTGACAGTACGGCTCGCTCCGCCCACCTATTTAGCTTCGGGCATGAAAGTCATTTTGCGGCGAGTCTTCATCAGGTTCGGACGATCATCGTGCAGCGGGACATTTTTTTTATTTCGGCGGGCGTCGTGCATCATGATTGACGCTGGGTTACATCGATGGAGCTATTACCTTCTTTTTTTTATTTTTTTATTGAAGGAATAGTAAAAAATTTACTCAAAGGATTTTTTCTAAAAGTGTGGTTTATTTACTTTGAATTTTAACCCTTTAGTTCCTCTTACTCATTCACAAGGCAAGGCATCTGGGTGCCCCTTAATTAAAGGGTACCCCGATGCAAATAAGCCCCCCCTGCCCTTGTCCCCCTTGGCATGGGGACACCCTCCCTATGCCAAGGGCACGCCGTGGCCTGGTAAGGCGCAAGGGGAGGGGCGCTCGATTGTGTTTGTGTGTCCCGTTCCCTGCCGGGCCTGTGCTTGGATCAAGGGTCTGGTAGAAATGTTAGGGGGGACCCTATGTTTTTCCCATTTTTGGGGGGCTGGGGTTCCCCCTTAAAATTCCTAACAGACCTAAAGGGTCTGGTATGAATTGGTTGGGAACCTCACACTTTTTTTTTTCCTCTTCTGCACACTAAAAAAAAGTTATTTTTCCTTGTCACTTTGCTGCAACGAAATTTCGCCCAGACTACCGCTAACGAATTTCGTCCGAATCCCGAAACGAATTGACTTTTGTGCGTGCTGTGTGTTTGTTTAATTTACTTGTGTGATGTGTGTTTTTATTGAGTGTATACATGTTTGACTATGTATGTTTCCCTATTTTGCCTAAGTCGGTGATGCTGAATGTTTTTTTTTAAACACAATACCAAACTTATTTTTAGTATTGGCACTTTGACATCAATACATTTGATTTTGTGTTGCAGTTTGGGAACACATTAGCCGTCACTGGTCTAGGACGTGTTCTAGTAATCCCTCTTCCTCCTCTCTGAGAGCTGCTTACACTGCTGCCGTGTATATAAAACATATTTAATCATTCCGTGCTGAATAGAAGGCCAGTAAGCCATCACGGGTTCAGGGTGAAGCAGAATTAAAGTTATACAACCTGTAATTAAAATTGCTTTACCTAGCCACTGTGATCACAAAGAGGTAGAACTGGTCTGGGAACTCCTTTTTCATACACGGCCTAATACAGTCCCAGAGATAATCCTAATAGAAACCTAAAGAGAACACACCACTAAGCTCTCAAACCATACAGGTGACTTTTAGTAGCTCAGTCATGTTATTGACCATTCGAACTCCAGAACTTGTTTTATTTTACAGCTATAAGCCTCCTAATTACACTCTAACATTGTTATCCCTTAGATGCAGAAGTGAGGTTTGTGTGTGGTGTCTGTGTGTGTGTCCTTGTCCATTGTATGTGTAATATACATACATACATACATACATACATACATACATACATACATACAGTCTAAGGTCTGTGAGTCATCACATCCTATACACAGTGTATAGGACGCGAGGATGCCGAGGGACACGCTATCGCTGCAGCAGGGGAGACAGGCAGGCTGAAGGGAGCACGGTAACAGCTGGCCAGCTGCGACATTCAGGCGAGTATTTTCTTGTTGCACCTAGACATAAATGAGCACTTAACTCTTGCAGTCCGGGATTACAATAGTTTGTGCAGAGTTCTTCAAGTACAATGCGGACCAATAGCCCTGCATTGTACACGAGGAGGGCTAGGACCCATCCACAACTTAGAGCATAGGAGCGATGAAGCAAAGAGTAAAGTAGGTATTACAACTTGTTCCTCTACTTTAGACTTAACAGGCAATTAACCCTTGTGGTGGTGTTGGGGGGTCCCATGACAAGGGTTTGTTTCTGCTTATCCTAGAATCCAGCTCTAATAAAGAGTCTGCATACGATATGAACAGTTTGGCACTGGTAGCATTTAGTATGTCCCTACTTAACACATCCAAGTTCAACCTGGAGCCATTTGCTTCAGCAGATGGAAACTCTTAACGGGCCTTCAAGCTCATTTTGCTGCTTATTTTAACTTAGTTGTGTTTGTTTTATCACGAGCTGTTCTTCTCATAAGTATATTTTGTTTGCACACAAATATTTTTTCTGAATTTGTATCTCATTCCATAAATTATTTTATTACCCCCTAAAACACCTTTTTCTGCACTCCTCCTCAATAGACACCATGGAACCTCACACTTCATGCCCACCAGAAGGTGGCAGTGTTTTAAAGTGCATCTAAAGGTCAAAATAAGTCCAAAATTAATTTACTATGTGATGCACGAGACTTGTAAAGTAAAGAAATAACTTCCTTTACTTCCCCTGAGTCGAGCACATTCTCGTTTGTGTCTCACACACTCACTCACTCCTAGACATTGCAGCTCACAATGGGAGGGTTTCAGCAGCAGAGGCAGAGCTGTCAATCCAGAAAGCAGTGGGCTGGACTGGGTGTGGTCAGGTGCTACAGGCTTGTGGATCAGCCATGACAATGCTGATAGCCACGCCCCCTGCAACATCTTCTCTCCCCCCCCTGTAGTGGTAGCAGGCACAGCCTACATGAGAGTGACAACTTTGCTCTGAATTCAGGAGCAGTGCAGCATTGTTGCCTCCCTATCACAGAAAGCTGTTTTAGGTGGACATCATTGGCAGATCTCTATAGGTTGAACTCGATGGACACGTGTCTCTTTTCAACCTAACTATGTAACTATGCAGATCAAGAGGCATTTGTTGGACTTAAGTGCTGAAGAGCAAATTTTAACTGCCAGGCCATAGTTCTTCAGTATAAAAACATCTAGTAAATAAGCAAATTTTGCAGTAAAACCCTTTAAATAATTGAGAACAAGATTTTAAATGTATAACATGAGGCAAATAACACATTGGGGTCTATTCACGAAGCAGCCGAGGGATCTAGCCGTAGCTTCGGCCAGCTTCGGCCCCAGGACCCCTTTGGTTCGGTAGAACCGAAGGGGTGCTGTACGGGCTATTCACTATAGCCCGTACAGCTCCCGAACGTAGCCGAGCGACTCAGTCGAGCCGAAGGTAGGTGGGGGGTTTGGCCACCGGCAGGGGCCGCCCCTAGGCTGTAATTGGTCTTTAGTTTTTTTGTGCCTAGCGTCCTTCTCCTGCAGGTGGCGATATTACCCTACAGTACATGATCTCCGATCTGTTCCCTGTGTCCTTCAATGAACGGAGAGAAAAGGATTTTACGGTGAGTACCAAAATCCTATTTTTTTTTTACGGCAGCAGAACCGCCGGACAATATAAAACAGTTGGGCGGAGCTAGCTGTCACTGCTAACTGCGCACAACCGTTTTCTATTTATTTATTTTTTACTATTTTTCTGTTCAGCTCGGTCCCTCTGAGGGACTGAGCTGAACAGCCGAGCTGAATGCCGCTCAGCTGCATTTGGCTATTCACTCACTGCTGTTCGGCATCTATGAGAATAGGCCGAACAGCAGTGAGTAGCCTGCCGGAGGTTTGGCTCAGCCGATCCAGATTTTGGATCGGCTGAGTCGAACTTCTGCACTTCAGGTCGGCCGAATATGCTGAGCATGTTTGGCCGACCCGAAGCCATGTGAAGCAAGCCGATGTACGGCTGATTTCAGCCGATAGACGGCTGAAATCAGCCGTACCAGCCTGAAGTGAATAGCCGAACAGTGTTCGGCTCACTTCACTTGGGGTTGGTTGTTCACTCGGCTGCCCTCTGGCAGCTTAGTGAATAGACCCCATTGTGATGAAAATATTACATGCAATAATACGCTTTAACCCCTTCATGACTGAGCTTGTTTTTAGTTTCTGTTCGTAAATGACTGCCACACTTTTGACATTTTTGCTGTGTGATTCTTCCACGTCAGTAATATACTTTCTTACAAAGTGCACCCACACATATTATATATTGTTTTTTAGAGGACAGATAGGGCTACATATTTATATCACATATGTGCGTCTAACGCCTCACTTAGGACAAATAAAATATAAAAAAAGAGGAAAAAACCGTTTAAAAAAAACACTTTTTTCCCAGTTTTGATTTGTAGTATTTTTTTTACAAAACCAGCACAGCTAAAAAAATGCAATAAATACATTCATTTATTTGTCCCTTATTTTATTTTATTTTTTACACATTTTTTTATTTTTTTTACACTTTTCACAATTTTTTTTTTTTTTTACACTTTTCACTTTTTTTTTTAACTTAAAAATGTTATTTTATTTATTTAATTATATCAAGCAGATTTTGTGAATTAATCTCACTGTTACTGCATGATAAATTAATAAATTTTTGGTTATTATCAGGCTGCTTCAAACTTCAGAACAGCCGATAATAAGTTAGTGACACTGATCCTGCAGCAGTTCAGGATTCAGCTGTTACTAAATGTTTTCTGATTGTTGCAACAACGATCAGCAAACAAACATTCTTCTTCCAGGAATAGATACATTGTAGGAATAGACACATTTTGTATCTATTCATGAAAGAAAAAAAAAAAAGCCAGTATAGCTTGAGAGAGATATCTCTCGATCTATACGAGCTGTCAGAATGCCGGCAAAAGCCGGCATCTGTGTCCGCTTTGCTTTGACTCTCAGACACCCGATATTAAGGTATCGGGTGTCTGAAAAAGGTTAACCCTTTCATTAATGAATGCCTCTGTAGTAAGGGCAGCCATTAATGAATGTTAAAAGCTGATTCTCAGCGATTAACAGCCCTCTAAAGCAGCAAATAACTCGTCACGTACAGTGTACGTGACAAGTCATTTGGTCCCTTTGTGGCTGGACGTACAGTGTACGTCTCCCGTCACGAAGGGGTTAATGACCCTCTTGTGTGTTGATGATTACCTTTTGTATCACATGCCCCACCTAATAGATTGTAAGCTTTCACGAGCAGGGCCCTCCTAACCCTATTGTAATGAAATTGTATTGTCCCTGTACTGTCGCCCTCGGTGTTGTAAGGCGATGCACAAACTTTTGGCGCTATATAAATCCTGTATTATATCATTATAATAATGACTGCATGGCCTAGTTTGTCCATGACAACATGGAAATATCAAACATTTATTGTGTTTATTTTTTGTTGTAGAAAAACAATCCGATGATTTTGGTTGTGGGCAATAATGGAAAGCTCATTTATGATCATCAAAAGTAAGTTTGTATGTTTTTCTCTCGTCTTTCACCTTGAAAAGTAATGCTTGTGTAGTAACTTTAAAGGGCAGATCGACTCTGAATGTTTTTTACCCACCAAAGCCTTTTCTTGTGTTTGTGTGATTACATCACCCACAGTGCTTTTGGTATGCCTAGACTTATTTAGTTTATTAGTGGAAAGTGACATTTACTTTTTTTTCTCTCAAAATTATGGGGGGGAATTCATCAAAATCTGGAGCAGCTGTGCATGGCAGCCAATCGGCTTCTCTCTTCAGGCTGTTCAGTTAAGATTTGAAAATGAAAGAGAGAAGCTGATTGGTTGCTGTGCACAGCTGATCCAGTTTTCATAAATTCCCCTCTATGTTTTGATAACACTCTGCTCCATTAAGACAAATGTAAACCCAAGAACACAAATGTAACATATTGCAGCTTACCATTCCTTGATGTTTTGGCTGCATTCGTTTTTCTGTTTTCAGCCTTTTAACCCTACCAGTACCACACTTCCTGTCCAAGGCCGCTCTCCTTTTGACTTTACAGACATTTCCCCCTCCCCTTATCTTAACATAGGGGGAGGTGTTCTTTAGTTCACAAAAGAGAACTGGAAAGGCTGATGACAATGTTTCAGATTCCAGTTCATTGCACAGGAAGTCAAAGGACACTGAAGGGAGTTTATCAATCTGGAGCAGCTGTGCATGGCAGCCAATCAGCTTCTCTCTTTCATTTTCAAATCTTAACTGAGCACCCTGAAGATTGAAGCTGATTGGTTTCCATGCACAGCTGCTCCAGATTTTGTCTGCTCCAGTTTGGATAAATTCCCCCCACTGTCTTTCTGCATGCATTTGTTCTGTGCTCGCAGAAAATGTACTTGGCCTGAAAATAGAAAACAGTCCAAAGATATGTAAAGAAACAGTTGCTTAGCACAGAGACTATAGTACTGCAAGGTCTGCAATGTCACCCTCTTCATGCTCCGATACCTTTCCCAACACCAGAACGTTCCGGTCAGAGGGAGATTTCCTCTGACCGGCAGTGCCGCAAGAGAACATGGAGCCGGCTTCCTGGCCAATCAGGAAGCCACGTGGTGGGTAATGACTCGCCTCCCGGCTTCCTGATTGCCGGGGAGGCTGGCTCGATGCTAGCGGAAGTATCAGTATTCTGTATCGGCATTCTGTATCGGCAAGTACCGAAATATAGAAATCTGTACTTGTACTCGATACCTAAAAATCGGTATTGATGCATCCCTAGTTGTCAATATTCCGTCTGCACTGAATTGTGCATAGTCAGAGAAAAATAAGTCCTTACTCACTGTGACAGTGCCTTGTTCTCACCACAATGCAAAATCTAATGCAGGGGTAGGCAAATTACAACCCTCCAGCCGTGGTACAACTACAAATCCCATTAGGCTTTGCTTTGTGACAGCCACAGCCATTACTCCCAGAAGCAGATGCATGATGAGATTTGTAGTTTCACCACAGCTGAAGGGCCGGAGTTTGCCTTCCCCCTGCTCTAAGGCATGGAATCCTGTGTATGTTGTTGCAGAGGCTGAGAGGTTGAGAAACAGGTAAAGTTTTTAGTAAAATCGTCCTAAGTTTACACCAGCCAGAACTTGGAGAAGATAAGTGAAATCTCCCCAATAGAGATAGACAACAAAAACATTCTCGCTTCAGCATAATTATTGGATGTCACAGCATTGCAAATCAATGGATGCCTCTTAATAGGAACCAGACGAAATTCTTGCAGTGGGTGGCCCTGCAGGCATGACAAGAGCTGACCACTTTATCTACTTGTGCCAAAGATGCCGGCTATAAACTTCCCGCCGCACAGTGGCTACAGTTACTGTTCATGTATTCTGACGGTGGCTGGTGCCAGCTGTCAGAATACAATACAGTTTATCGAGGATCGGGAAATTGGTTTGATGTTCTGCCCGCAGCCTAAAAGAATAAAAATCCATTAGTGTCGGACCACCCTAAAGCAAAAGTATTGGAAGAAAGTGATATACTTTTCCTAATACTTTGAGCCGATGGGGGACACTGCAGCTGTCACATGGCAGGTCTATGTGACCCAATAAAGAAGTAAAGCCAAAAATAGATTTTGCTTTACTTCTCTCTTAAAACACTTGGTCAAGTTTCCTCCTTTGCCATATCAATATGTGCTTGGAAATGGTAGTATCAATATGTGCTTGCATGTCTTTGCAGTGATGGAGCTTCACAAGCACTGTCCTCTTGTCAGAGAGATTTCCGAAACAAGCCGTATCCAGTCCGTGCGAAGATCGTCTACTATAAGAAGACTTTATCAGTGAGTATTTCTGCTCGTGGCTTCTGGTATTAATAGAACATCTTTATCTATTTCATGAACACTTTCTTTCCATGCCGCTAATCTAGGTAATGATTAACAACGGCTTTACACCGGACAAGGACGACTATGAGTTCTGTGCCAAAGTGGACAATATGATCCTGCCCCAGCAAGGCTTCTTTGGGATATCTGCAGCCACAGGAGGCCTGGCAGGTCGGTCATATGTCATTATACTTGCTCTGTCCTCTTGGACACACAAATGCATTTTCATGTGAACACATTCATTTAGGGCTTATGACTTTAGATTGGAAGTGTTGTTTTGATATAGATATTCGTCATATGTAACTTTTTTGTAAAACATTTTTTTTTCTTTTCTATTAGATGATCATGATGTGCTGTCTTTTCTGACTTTCCAGCTAACTGAACCCGGCAAAGATGAAGTGAGTTGTTTTTTTTTTGACTAACAGAAATATTGCTATGACATGTTTTTACCAGAAAACCAGATAGATGCATGTCACAGTTATCAGGGAGGGTTTCGGATGGTGACAGCAGTGTGTACTGTGTGTTGGTATATCTACTGGGAGAGCATGTGAACGGAGCGTTGTTGGAGGTGGTAACCAGCTCATGACAGGATCGCCAGGTTTTATTTTGGCAATTAATGAAAGCTGCAGATTTTAAAAACTTGGAAATGACTTTTTGAAGAGATTCATGTTTTGGTTTACAAATACTTTAATAATTTTTATGTATCCTATTTATTGAAAAATGCCCCCTCTGCCCCTGTTTACAGCAGAAACATAAGACTGACCACTCTCTATGGCAAAATTGTGAAAGCTGACCACCTTATCACTCTGTGTGTATTGTGTTTAATTGCACACTTCCATGCTGTCCATTGTAATATACAGCTCTCAAACACAACAGTACATGTGTCTCACTGTTTCCTGTCCTTGCACCTTCTGCTTTTGGTGCCTTGTTATTAAATGGAATGAACAGTCACAATAGATGTTTGTAGAACCACCAATGCCACTAAAATAACATGGACCAGAAGCAGCTTGGCAGTACCACTGTGTTCCCTTTACAGTTTTCAGAGAGCTGTTTATTAGAAAGGACAGCATGGCAGGAAGTGTGATTACCTATATCACCCTTAGGCATGGTTCCCACCTGGGAACGTGGGAAAATTGCCCTACACCCAAAGAAGTACAGGAGCTTCTTTGGAGCGTATTTTCCGCGCGTATCCATTAGGATACAGCCGGATAGCGCTCGTAATCGTGCGTTTGTCGCGCATTTCTTTTACTGCAAATCGCTGTAAAAACGGGTGGCAAACGCCCATATTCCGTACGCCCAGGTGTGAACCCAGCCTTACTCCATAAAATAAATCCTGGGGCTCTACTTAAATAACAATGTACACAGTGAAATGTGGGGACTTCCAGTGAAGCCAGTCGCTGTTTCTGTGGCATGTGCATTTTATATGGGAACCTGAAATGGGATGTTATTTTTCAGCCTCCAGCAGACACGGAAATCACAAAGGAAGAAAAGGACAAGTACCAAGAGGAGTTTGACAACTTCCAGCAAGAACTTGATAAGAGGAAAGACGAATTTCAGAAAGACCACCCAGAGCTTAAAGAACATCCAGGCATGTATTTCTCCCACACACATCAGCTTCACCAGCATACAGCTAATCCTGAGAAGCACTTACTGCACTTCTTCACTATACAATCACATGCAGTCGTATTCTGTTCTGTATTATAGGCTAGAGCCATGCAACAGCTATTGTCGCCATTATACCCCAATACCCGGTGCTGTAGATACCAAGATTTATCTCCTTTATCAGATATCAAGTGACAAGTGCCTTGGCATTGGTCACATGACACAGCATCAGAGGAAGATCATATATCATTATAGATGCGCTGTAGTAATACAATTTTTTTCCTAGGAATTGTAGAATGTTCAAGTTCCAGCTTTGTTTCTTAGTGCAGATTGTAAATTTGAAGCAGGCGTGTGACTCCACCAGTTTCCATTCTTTTACACTAAAGCAAACCCCCTAAAATTATACCGTGCCCAGGTCATACTGCGATCATGTTTGACTTTGCTTTTACTCTTTCTATAGTGGATGATATGTACGAGTCAGTCAATGAACGGGAACTTAGGCAGATCTTTGAAGGCCAGAACCGTATTCACCTTGAGATTAAGCAGCTGAACCGACAGCTTGATATGATCCTGGACGAACAACGGAGATATGTGAATGCAGTCAGTGAAACCATTGCTAAGACTGGAGGAGGAAACGAGGCCCAACAGGTACATCTTTTGGATACTGAAGTTCTGGAATATTTATATTCAGATATGGCCATTGTGTCTTCTGACAATTTGCTTATTAAATTGACCCTTGAATTGGCCCAAAATGTGCCTGCGGTAACATCAGTTCTGAGTAGCAGCACCATGTGGTGCCTGCAAATACCTGTGAGTCTTCCAAATTGGTCCCTGTGTAGCCCCTTGATTCTTAGTCTTAGGACCTTGAGATACAGCTCCATCCCTTCCTATATTATGCCTTGCCCCTGTCATTTCTCTGTCAAATACTAGAACCTTAATGGGCAGTAGAAGCTTTGACATTTGAGGGTTGCATGATAGGGAGTGGGACTTCTGCTACTAAGGGTGATGTTTAAAGAACAATTAAAGAAGTTCTCCAGGAAAACGTATTAACCCTTGCAGTGAGGCTAGCCCCGCACCGCAAAGGTTACGTTCTCGTTTGTGTCTGGTGCTAAAATAGGTGCTAAATAACAAAGTTATACTCATCCGAAGCTCCGAGCCGGCCGGCTGTCTCCCCCTCCCTGCAGTATTGGAATCTTGCTCAGCGTCTATACGCTGTGCACAGAAATCATCAAACATGTTCGCTTACAGGGCCTTAGATGGCTGCAGAGGAGGGGGATAGACATCGGAAGGACCGGCCTAAAGGTGCCCATACATCTTGTGATTATCGTTCGAAAAACGACCACGATCGGGTTTTCGTACGATAATCAACCAGTTGGAGGGAAGTGAACGATCATAATTTCTCTACAACTGGCCGAATTTCCTCGATTGGTCAGTCTGGAGAACTTTTTTCGAATCGTATGAAAATCGATGGATTAGTGGCATTTTCGTATGAAAAAATCGTAACATGAACACTGCACAATCGATAATACGAAATCATCTGCACTCCATATAACGTACAGACCTTGGATGAGAGTTTGGTGCTTGAAGTGACAACACGGATGGTGCCGTGTCAGATAGTCCATAATCGAAGTCACCAGCACTCAATGATGTGTGCAAGAAGTAAAGCGACATAGGTCACTGTAGCCCAGAAGAAGGGAACCTGCGTGGCCCCGAAACTTTGGCTGTTTGACGCTTGTGATAAAAAGTGCTTTACTTCATGCACACCATCGAGTGCTGGTGACTTCTATTATGAACACTACACATGCGCAAACGAAAATCCATTCTGTCGATCGACGAGATTCGCCATTTAGTATTGCTAACTAACGATAATCGAAATCTACATTAGTCTGTACCTGATGACGAAATAAATCGAATGATAATGGTAAGATGTATGGCCAGCTTTAGAAGATGCCGGCTCTTCGCTTCAAGCGAGTATAAATTTGTTTTTGTTTTTTTAACCTAGGTACAAATGAGCAGTTAACACTTAGAGGGCGGCGGTATCCCGCTGCCGGGGTTATGAAAAATAATTCCTGGCGTTTTTCTTAAATCTTATCTTGGGGAGAAGCAAAAACTCTGTGCTCCTCAGTGCCAAGGATCAAAGGGGCTACACAGGGATTGAGTTCTGACACAAGTCTTTGCAGGCAGTATAGTGCTGCTGCACTAGAGCACAATTGTTATCATAGGCGCTTTTAGGCCGGCCGGCCGTCAGTCAGCATCACTTTAACTGATTCAATTGTGACCAGTTTTGTTCATGTGCATTGAATGAATTTGCTTTTCTACTTCTGCTAATATTTACCTTTACATATTGATAGAGACTCTGTAATTGAATAATGGCTTTTAATGTTTAAAATTTTTCTTTTCTCAGACCTCCCAGCAGGAATTAGACACTCTCCTTAAGGGACAGAGGGAAGTGCTGAAGCATGTCAATGACATGAGGTAAGAGACCTTACAATGTAGTGGTCACCCAAAATACAAGTCAACCAGCTAGGACACACATTATTATTATTATACAGGATTTACACTGGCATACATGTGCCGTATTTAGGGAAGAGTTACTGCTCTGACTCGTTCAGGGATGCACCGATACCATTTTTTCTAGACCGTGTATGAGTACTGATACTAGAAAATTCAAAAATGGCTTGGCCAGCTGATTTGAAAAATGTTCCGGAGGGCTTGGCAGCGAAAGGGTTAAGTACTCACTGATGCCAATTACCAATACTTTTTTTTTGTGTGTGTCATGTGACAGTTTTTTAAAAACAATACTGATTTTAGGCCAGTGATGATTTAATGATTTTAGTACAGTGACTTGTTGGACCTAGGTAGTTCTGCCACTGACTTCAAGCTGTAGAGGGATTACAAATCCCTCCTGCATAGTGTATTTATGGGATTTGTAGTCCTCTATAGCTGATATTCTGCATTGCTGTATAATGTATTGCTGGGATTTGTAGTCCTCTTATTATAGTAATACCATCCGCTATAGGGGACTACAAATCCCAGCAATACATTATACAGCAATGCAGAATAGTATATGAATTTGCTACATACTCTGTGCTGCCGCTATGCTCTGTCTTGGGTGGAGGGTCTAAGGAGGGGGAGATGTGCGGGTGGCGGAAGCAGTGTCAGAAGGCGCTACGGGGTCCTCAGCAAACGCTGGACCTCAGGCAGCTGAGTCCATTTGAAAATTTAAAGTGCCAGTGTCTGTTTTTAGTATCTGGGCATTTTTGTGTGTGTGTGTGTGTGTGTATATGTATGTATATAT